GTTTGTGATTCTGAAAGAGTGAACAGCCCAGTCTAAGTAGAAAGAGTGTTCGGCTTTCCTAAGAGGCAATCCTTCTCTGAGTGCGGCTTCATCGATCTGAATGACTCCAATACCTCCTTTCTCTAGGTCTTCCACTTCGTCTTTGATGGCCAAAGCAATCTGGTAACAGGTTTCGTGCCTAGGCTGGTCGTTTCTGACAAAAGACCAGTTGAGAATTGTGACTGGACCTGTAAGCATTCCCTTCATTGGACGTTTGGTCATGCTCTGAGCTGTTGAGGACCAGAACACTGTCATTGGCTTGGGGCGGCTCACGTCACCGTAGATAACCGGTGGCTTCACACAGCGAGATCCATAGGATTGCACCCACCCGTTTGCTGTGAATGCGAAACCTGACAATTGCTCTCCAAAGTACTCAACCATGTCGTTTCTCTACAATGTTGTTAAAGCATGAGTCAGAGTCAGAAACAGAACACTAGTTATTTTCAGGGTTTTGTAACAGGCAAAAACTCACCTCAGGCTCTCCGTGAACAAGAACATCAATGTCAAGGTCTTCTTGGATGTCAACAACTTTCTTGATCTCTTCCTTGATGGCCTTGACGTAATCCTCCTCAGAGATTCTAGTATAAGAGAGATCCTAGTTAGCATCACAATCAACTTACTAAACTTACTTAAATGATCAATGCAGAAAGATTGTGATTAAGAGACTAACTTCTTCGCCTTGTACTCACGGCGAACTCTCCTGAGTTCTACGGTCTGTGGGAAGGACCCAATGGTTGTGGTTGGGAGGATTGGAAGGTTGAGCTTCTTCTGCTGAGCATCTAGCCTTGCACTAACTTCAGTTGTACGGCGGTGGTCAGATCCCTTCAAAGCAGCAGCCTGAGATACCAGAATACAAATCATCATGATCAATAAAAACATAATTACAGAGAAAGTCGTCATGTGTGTAAAGCTAGAATTTGAAAGCAAGAACTTACAGCCTTCTGGACAGACTCATTGGTGACTCTTGGGGAAGACCTCCTCGAAGACAAAGCATTAGCGTTGGCAGTGAAGAAACTCTGAAAGAGAGAAAGATTAGAGAGTATTAGTGTTTTTCAAATTTTAAGGGTTCACTAGGGAAACATGTTTGTTAGATCTTTGCAATACCTCATTTGTCTGACCAGCCAAAGCCTTGGCCAATGCGTCAACTTCAACGACCTTCTGGGCAGCAAAAGCTAGCCATGACTTGATTTCGGCATCGAGCTTAGTCTCGTTAATAAGGTCAACGGCAGTGTGGAGAAGAGAGCAAGAGGTTGAGGCCACAAGCTTGTCTGCACCAAGACACAAAGAAGATAATCAACAAGTTAATTAAAGAATGATAACAAAGAAACACTTCTCATTGAGTAATCCTCGAGATGAGATGGAAATAGCGCAAAGTGATTCTGGGAAAACATCATACCTTTACCAACAACACCCTCAAGTGACTGCAAGGCGATGAGAGAGGCAGCGAGGTCATTGGCCCAGATGTTCCTTCCGTCAACAACACCAGCAAAGAGATACTTGCCCTTGGGGAAACCAGCCTTGATCAAGTCAATGGTCTTGGTGCCACGAATCAGATCAAATCCAAAGGCAGTCACACCCTTCAAGGAAGTAAGGGTCTTGTATGCTTCAGCAGGGATATCAGCGAAGTAGGTCTCCACAAGAACATTCAGACCAGAGAGAGCTGATTCGAGCTCAGCATAGGCACCGCTAAAAGCCTGGAGTTTGTGACCCTCGAGATCCATGACAAAAAGAGGCTCATCAAGCTGGATCCAGGATGCACCAGCTGCCTTGAGCTCTGCAATAACTTCCCTGAGAAAAGATTCATCATTCCATAAGCAGCATGTGAGAAACAAATCTCTTAGCATCAAACAGAACAACTGAGTATTTTAGCTAAAGAAAGTTCAAAAAGCAATCTCTTACTTGTAGACGGGGAGAATTTTGGGGAGAAGGGAGAGAAGATCAAATGACTTGTCAACACCCTTAGCAAGCTTAGAAAGAAGCAAGTAAGAGACAGGGCCAACAAGTACAGGGACGGTCTCAACACCAAGCTGTATTAAAACACCGCTTTATCATATTAGAATAGTATACCAAGAACAAGCCTATGTTCAAACAGGAATATTAGTGAGTAATGGTACGTACAGCCTTGGCCTCCTTGTACTCATTCACAGCCTTGTGAGATGCGTAAGAAAATTTGACTTCAGGGCCCAACTCTGGGACGATGTAATGGCTGCATCAAACAAAAAAATAGAAAAGAAAGAAGTTCGTTTAACCACGCGCAACTCACAAATCCAAAAAACAAGAAAAGACATAAGAGAAAAGAGCAGAAGAAAACTCACTAGTTGGTGTCAAACCACTTGGTCATCTCCATAGCCGGAACAGAGGCATTTCCTCTGGCCATGGAGAAGTAGACATCAAGGCCGATCTCACCACTGGTGTATCCGTACCTAGGTGGAACAGCACCTATCATGGCGGTGGTGTCAAGGACGTGGTCATAGTGAGAGAAGGTGTTGCTTGGGATATACTTAATCCCAGCAGAAGACATCTGTTTCCAGATGTCAGACCTGAGATCAGCAGAGACCTTCTGAAGATCGTCGGCACTGGTCTTGCCATCCCAGAAAGACTCCAAAGCAAACTTGAGCTCTCTCTTAGGACCCATACGAGGATATCCAACAATGTGGGAAGCCATTTTTGATTTTCTTTTTTTTTATATATAACTATGATTGAAAAAACAAAAACAAAAACGAAATCAGTACAATAAAATCAAAGCATGATCGTATAATGTAGAACTAGTTGTTGTCCTCATAAAAAGCCACCATTCAATCATTGGTAAAGAAAAAGGTTAAAACTTTTGCAGCTTTGTGTCGTGTTCATTGAAATAAAAGAGATATATAACAAGTCTAAGTTGAAAACAGAGAGATTAATAACATCAAACGAATCAGAGATACTCAAAACAGAGATCTAATGCAGGAACCAAATCGTTTAAAGACATAAACTAAGTACTCAAGAAAAAACAGAGATATGGGAGAAGAGATGTAGGAATCTGATGAGATAGATACAAAAAAAAACAAAAACATAGTGGGATCTGTGGTTCATAAAACAAAAGAACTAACTCACCTGAAGAAAGATAGATCTAAGTATTATGAAGAAAAAAAAAGAAACAGAGCGAGGCGTAGATGATGAAAGGGGAGTGAAAATGGAATTGAGAGGAAAAGGAAGAGAGGGGAAGGCACTAAATAAGAGAGTGGGGGAAAGGAAGGGAGAAGAAAAGTCATGCGGAAGCCATGGAAACTCGGAAGCGTACCTTACGGAGAGGAGAGGAGAGGAGATGGGAGAAGAGAGCGAGCGACGATGGAGAGTGGCTCTCTCTGGATCTCTGTGTAAAGGCTTATTTATAGCAAAATCAAATACGCATCATTCGTTCCTTTCTCTCTCACTCTCTACCGTATATACTTACTTGTGTGTATATTTAGGTTTCCTTTTTTTTTTTTTTTTTGTCTTTAGGGAATTACGAAAATACGTATATGCCACCCAGCACGTTTTTTAAATAAGGGGTCAATTTTGTACAAGTTTTAAAAATTATACGGTTTTATTACGATGGTTTACCTTTTTAGTTTATTTTAAAATGTATTTATGTAGGCATGACAATGAAGCTGATTGAAATTTAGGTATATACATTTTTTTTTTTTTTGTCAATTCCTTACACTACTTGGTTAATTATAAAAGTTTAAAAAATTATTGTGTTTATAAGGTTGAGGAAAGCAAGGGGTTTAGTGTATTAATTAATTAAAGATTAAATATGGGGGGGGGGGGGGGGGGGGTTAATTCCTAGTTTAATGAGGGAACTAAAAAACGTGAAATGTGGGAGGAGAGTTGGTGGTGTGCTGTGTTGTGTGGACTGTGGAGGACTATCAGAGTCATACACAGGAGAGGTAGCGGGATTGGTGGCTGGAGCCCATGACCATGAGAGTGGTGGTTGGTGAGAGAGAGAGAAATTTGTTTCGTATATTTTTACTACTAAACCACGACATCTTAAGAGTTAAGAGTCAGTGTACATGTACTACCACCAGTTCCCCCACACAAACTTGAGATTTTGTTTGGTAAACTAATAAGTTGGTGACTGATTATGATTGGTATCTACGTCCCTTTCTTATATGTTCTTTTCTTCTTCTTTTCTGAGTTAATAAGTGTTTTTTTAGGCTAGTGGTGTACATGTAACCAAGAGATTATTACTTCATAGTTAATACTATTTCTATAATTTACGGTTTATATAACCTTTCAAAATTTGTGTAATGTATTGGGTCGATAGCTAAGTGTGTTTCCTTGTTGTAGCTAGACGTTAAATATTGTCCCTAATCCCAAGATAGAATAATTGAAATACCCATTGATTTTTAACAGTCGGCCATATTCTTCCTTGTTGGTTGATTATTTGGGCACCAAAACATTGATAATTCATCAAACCTTTTAACCTTAACATTCGATTAGTTGTTGTTTTGTTGATGAAACTCGAATAAACTTTAAATCCAACAAGACACGCTTAAATGCTTAATAAGTAACAGATACCCCCAAATGACGCCAAGAATTATATATGCTATACGTATTCCCAAAAGTAAGGAATTTGACCAAATATTTCGATTCACTATAATACCCCCACGTGTCTTCTATCTTGTCAGAATATATATCAGCAGTAGTAGATTTCCCATTTTTGTTGTTTATAGTTAAAATGAATAAACACGTTTAGTTTTGATATCAACATATAAATCCTCTACTAAAATCTATACCATAGTCTACTCTTGGTATAATTCATACTTCACATACCCAACCATAATTGAACCAGACTTAGAAAACGGATCCGATGTGAACCAACCATACCAACAACAAAGGGAAGCCAAAATTAAGTCTTAGAAACTGAAAAAACTATATCAGACTAATGCTGATTCCTCTTAAAATATATCTAATCAGAGGTAACACTACATAAACCCCAGACTCTGTTGTTGGGTTTTTCTCAGGTACAAAGTAAACTCCATCACCTTAAACAAGCTTCAGTCCCTCATCTTTTACCTTTTCTTCAGCTTCCACTTGGTCTGGTTGGTTGGTTGTTGCCATTAAGCTAATGTCTTCTTGCCTTTTCCAGATCAGGAAGATCTGACCAAATATCAAATGTGTTTTTTTTGTAAAATCAGTACTCACAAAAGGATCCACATAAATATTTAGAAGACAACTAAGTTCTGACTGATACTTAGTACTCACAAGAACTATATCACAGGATAATGCCACTAACACTTAGGAATTTAACATAATAATTTATCAATCTTCACTTAGTCTCTATCTATTATTTTTGAAATGCTATATATCATTGCGTTAAGAAGATTCAAAGAATGTTAAAACTTACAGAGCAATCCATCATCGTCGCTGCTTTCATCTTGGTCAACAAACTATGAAAACAATGAGGGAAACTAATTAAACAGGGTGGCTTTTTACTAAACTGCATTGAAAATAAATAAGCGATTAGGAGAAAACACTTACTGCACTCTCATCATCAGAGGCTGTTTCAGCTAAAACAGAAGAAAAAATAGAGTCTATCGTTAGGCACAACTTATGATGAAAAAGATCAGAGTCTTTGTGATTTTTCTAGTCTTTTCAAACGAGATTAGACAACATTAACATCTGTCGTATGCAAAATTGGTGTATGTTTACTTAATCGAGCATGTAAGAACAAGAGCTATTGCAGGTTGGGTGAGGGTACATGAACATCCAAGAAAAGTGAAATCCTAATCTTCGGAAGGTATAGATAAGAAGATTTTGAATTATCCCCTAGAGATTTGAGCTGAGCTTTGGCTTGCAATATCTATTTTTACGACTTACAGTTAACCTCCTCATCCTCATCGCACCATTTATTCCAGTCGACCTTAATGTAAGGTGCAGGTTTCTCTTCTGATTTCAGCAGTCTTGTCCACCAGCTTTTCTCTTCTTTTTGAATTGAAAATATGATGTTCCTCAGCCCTACATTCTTCCGATATTCCTGCATCATACATACACATAGCATAGGAAATTTGTTAAAAGAAGTATGTGTAGATACTTTAAAAAAAAATTATTTTTGACCCTACGGGGAGTGAGTGATATCTAATAAGAGTAGACTGATACAGACTCGCTGAAGTTATCGATTTACAGATGCAATGATTACTTTACAGTTGCTGCTAGTTCATATCATTTAAAGGAAGAAATGGCACTCACTGGCATAATCTTCCCATATAGCTCCAAGCTGAATTCAAAGCGCTCGCCTAGGGCACCAAGGGCAGAGAAGCTGAATAGACCCTGAGGCTCACACTTGACTGAAAGGTCCTTCGCATCGGGTAAGGCGACGGTTAGGTAAACCTTATCAGAACGCTGAGCCCAAAGAACCTCCGGGTTACGACTGCACACAAGGTGAAACAACAGTTATATTATACTGTGCTACTCTACTCAGCAGACTTTGTGCAACGTACCACCTCAATCACACAACCAAAAGCGAAGTGAGGATTACAACTAACTGGTTACATTATGAAGAATTTCTAGCATAAGATTTTCAATTTTGAAAATTCACAAGTAAAACGACGTCAATACTTTTATCAATTCTAAACATGAATGCTGAAGCCAATCAAAAAGTGTGGAACTGTAACAAGTGGGTGATTTTATTTCGGACACCACTATCCAAAAAAGTTCTAAGATCTGTGCAAACAACTCTATCATCATCAAAAAGAACACCACTTCCTATATTACTAATGAAAAACCCTTTAGTAAATAAACTTAAAGGTAGAGGCTTTCTATAGTCTAGTTAGAGAAAAATGTGACGCAGGGGCCAAAACTTAGATCATAAATCAGTGGGAACCTATTCGTGGATTAAGCAAACATAAACCATATGAGATATATAAATTATTGAGTAAATCTCAAAAACCCTAGAAACCGAACAGATACCTCATGTTTTCAGCGAAGTTTAAAACTTTGGATTGAAGAAGTCGCCGGAAGTGTGAACGGCGGACAGAGTACGAAGGAAACGGCGATCGATTTTGAAGAGAAAAAAAAAGTTGGAAACTTGAAAACAATCTTCTTAGTAGGGTGGAGTGAAGAAGGTAAGGAGGTATAATTTACATTTAGCCCCAATAGTTTTAGAGCATTTTAAATAGACCCGTAAATCTTGAACTTATTCAAAATTGATTAAAACTCCTAAAAAATATACATTTGGACCCAATTAGAGATTTCATATCCCAATTTGGCATATTTGCGATAATAATTTAACCTACAAATAAAGTAAAGGAAGAGCAAAAAGGACAAACACAGGTAAATGAAATGAAAGACAAACATGTGTCATTGTTTCTTACAGATCATAGATCACTGATGACACATGCTATTTTGCAACACACTTAAAAAGTTTTATCTCAAAGTTGTAATATGGTGTACGTAAATCACGTTGCCTTAAGAGTAACGACACATAAAAAAAAAAATAGCTTAGAAGCAAAAAGATATAATTGTCATATTAAAAAAATATCTTAATGTGTCCTAAAATAATCAATTAGTTTTGAGGAAGCGGTTAAATAACTTTGAAGATGATCACTTCACAATTACGACTCACACCTAACAAAAGGAACAATAAAAATCTAAAATGCTGAACAAACCATCTCTGTTACACTCCGCTAGGCGAAAATGACACCCATACCTCTAAGTTCTAACGTACGTCTTAATTAACTTAATATATATCAGGTTATTTTATATATTTCGCTTTCTACAAATCATTTTTTAATTTGTATATTATGTCTATTAAAAAAGATAGAAAATAACATCAAAAGTATAGCCTTAGAAAAAAATTTCTCTTCGCCCATAAAATTTTAAAATATATATATATATATATATATTTGATAAATACTTATTAGTTTCTTTTCGTCTACCAAATTAAACTCTATTAAAGTTGGCTAGTCGATTATAAGCTGGACCAGCAATTTTTATTCTTTGTAAACCATTAGTGAATACGACATTTGACTATTGAGACATGTAAACCAAGAGAGAGAGAGAGAGAAAGAAAACCTAACTAAATAATGAAAACTCAAACAAAAAAAATGAAGGCAAACATAAGAAATTAAAATATTCGTAAACGATGCAAAGAAAAGACTAACAGAAGAAGATGCATATAAAAGAAGTAGGTGGACTAAAATTTCACAAAATTTTGTTTGCTTATGTTTGTAAGTATTTGCTTTACTACTTGTTTTCTTTTATACCTCCAAATCTAAATTACTAAAAAAGAGAACTACGAGATAAAAATGATGTAGAATCTCTCTTTGGGAGAGCACGTGAGTAGTCAAGAGATTAATTTGCCTTAGTTTGTAATTATAAAACTAGGTTCGGACCCGCGCTACAGCGCGGAGAAAATAATTAACTATATATAACTTTTAACGGATTATGATATGTTACATTTTAATTTTATTGCAATGTAATTGATTACAGTACTTCCCTTCGGGGAAAGGGAAAGACCTTGAAAACTCTTTCCGTATAGGCCAGATCTGGTGCAGTTGGAGCAGAAAAAGAACTCCCTTGAGCTTGGTAAGGGGCTTGGTAAGGTGCTTGGTAGGGCGCTTGATAAGGTGGTCTTTGTTGGAGCAGTAGCCCCTCTAGCTTGGAACCCTTGGTTGAAAGGCCTTGGTTGGAATCCTTGACCTCCAACATAGTTCAACTCTTCTTGTGGCTCCTCATACCCTTCAACACCAAAGTCTTGGTACCCTTGATATCCACCATACTCTTCACAAGAGTTTACCGCTTCCTAATCAGTGTAGCTCTTGGGTCAGCTCACAGCTAGGACGTCATCAGTTCTAAAGGATTCCACCACTAGGGAGACTCTCTCTTACTAGTCTTGAGTTGTTGGAGAACTTGAGGATTTGGATGCCCAAGCCTATAATGCCAAGTGAGCTCACTAGCTGCTTGTTGTCTTGTAGAGTAGAAGACTTATAGATTCAAATTCTCCAACATATAGATGTCCTTACACCGTTTTCCTTTGCTCAGCAGGCTCCGTGTTTGCTTGTCCTTTATGCATACTTCGTTAGCATCAAACTCAAAGAAGCATGGATAAATCATCACAAAGTTTGGACACAGAGAGAAGAGACTTAGTTATGAAAGGACAAACAAGAACTTCATTTAATGGTAAACTACCTGATGAGCTTGGTAGATTGGTAGATCCAACATGAGTGATGGGCAAGAAGGCTCCATCCCCAACCATCACACTGTCGGATCCCACATAAGGTTGTGACTGTTGGAGGTGATGAGCAGAATTGGTAATGTGAGAGGAGGCACCAGAATCTGGAAACCATTATGTACCAGAGGTATCCGTGATCTGAAGAGCAGCAAGAGCTTGAGGAATATCACTGTTCTGGAAGGAGTTGTCATATCGGTTCCAGCATTTTAGGGCTGAGTGACCAGATTAGCCACATATTTGGCAAACGGGTCGAGAAGAGAACTGATCAGAGGAGTGGGATTGATGCAAACTAGTTGAGGGCTTGATAGCGTTGATGAAACCCTCTTCCTCTTGTAGAGAATGAGCCGCGACCACGGTAGTTACCAAACCGAGAATAGGACTGTCATACGAGTATACCAGAGGCTGAAGGTATTGAGTGATGATCCTTCCTCAACCCTAAGCTAGGCGAATCAATAACAAAGCAAGACTACTTTCCATCAGTACGGGGTACGCCATAAACGAAGTCAGAAGGTTGTCAATCAAATATGGTACGCGATGCTTGTATAATAAGTTTAAATAAAATAATAAACGAAAAAGTGAATAAATAATAATACATTGAGTTTTGATACAACTAAAAAAAGTGAAAAGTTAACAGCACGAAAAAAAACAAATTATTCAATTGACCCTTTTTGTAGTAAAAGTAGAAATATACGTAAAAATTACATACTTACAATTTTTGTTATGAAGTATCAACCTGTAACATAATTCATTCTGTAAAAACCGTTATTCATAACTTGCTTTACCATTATAATTGTGATTTTAACAAACTACCTGTGAACTATCTAAAATTTACATAGTTTGATATATAATATATTTTATCAATAATAATTATGTCTCAAAAAATATTTTTAATATTTTTAATTCTAATTTATTTTTAAATTTTAAACTTTTAATTATAATATTTTGAAACTTTTTAAACTTTTAAATATGCTCATGTAACAATTGTTTTAGTATTGGTCATACTGATTTTAAATCATTGTCCAGAATATTTAACCAAATGTAGTTGAGTATTATATGTCCGTTTTGAAAAATTCAAATTGCAAAGTATACAAAAAAAAAAAAAAATTTATTAAAATTTTTTATATATAGTATAATATCAAGGGACATTCTCTAAAATACCACCATTTTTGTTTTTAGGACAAAAATACCACAAGACTAAAATTAAATTTTAAATTTTCAAACTTTAAATTCTAAATTCTAAACATTAGACCCTACCCCCTAAATACTATACCCTAAAATTCCATACCAATAATTTGATTTTAGTGGTATTTTTGGAAAGAAAACCAAAATGATGGTATTTTGAGGAATTCCTCTATCATAAATTTAAAATAATATCAAAAAAATGTCAAAGAAGAATGATAATTACTTTTAATATATTATATTAAATTAGTTAGAGAAATATTAGAAAATCATAAAATTAGTTATGGAAATAATATAATCTTAAAATTAGATATGGAAAATATCCGATGTATGTAGCCAAACCCATTTTAGTATCCAACTTTGAAGTATCCAATTGTTAAAATCGGGTTAATTTTTTAGTTTTGACCCGATCCGTATTCTATTTTGTACTTCTCTTTTACTAATATAGAGATAGAATGCAAAACGAAAACCTTGTTATCATTTGTTAGTTAATCTGATTCTCCGTATTATTGATCGTAAATACTACACTAGGATTGATCATATATTCATTACGTGAGGCTAATTTGGTGTATTAGAATTGTATTTTCTTGCAATTTGTAAAAATGGTAGAGAAATATTGAGACCCACATGTGTCACTTTAAAAAGTCTGATGTGACCTTTTCTTACTGATGGAGATGCCACCGTGCGAAAAGGGTCACATTGCAGTGTGTGCCACAACTTCACTTTCTTTCTCTTTTCACCTTAACAATAATTTTACCTTTCAGTTTTTTTTTAAAAGTTTTTGGATGGATCTTGTAGTTTATTTCGGTTTTGTTTTAAGCCTAGTTTTGATATTACAGAAGAAGAAAAAACATGCATAAGTTGGTTTCAATTATCTTACATTGACCAAACTACAAAACAAAATGAGAATTTGAACCCTCCGAGCATATATAGCCCATTAATTAATTTTCATATGAGAAACTTTACAACTTATACAAAAATAATATTTATTTGTTTCCCTCGACTAGTATTTATAGACCACATCCCTAAGCCCTAAAAATAATATTCTCTCTTATCTTTAACTTTTTATCTTTTTTGGGTCTTTTTTACTTTTCTCTTGGCCACAGCTTTGGTTACTATTTTCGAAAGTGATATATATATATATATATATATATCTGACTATATGAACATATTTAATACTGTGGTTATTCATTTTTTTTATGGACGTTATGCTGGGAAAATAATTTAATTTGTGTCATAAAAATTGAATAGTGAGACAATCAAAAATAAAAAGATCATAAAAAAATGTCGGCCAGAGATTCCTTTTTTAAAAATTGTAAAAAATAATGCATGTGAACACTTTTCAAGATAAATTTGTGAACAAAAATTCTATTTCTATTTTGTTTCTTTCTTGTTAAAAAGAATTAAAGAAAAAAAAGAATTTATCGTTGTCTTCCTCTCGTGATAGAGAGGAGGACCAAACTCTCTGTCGTTAGCCACTGACAGTTTACTAAATCGTATGGTTGCTACAAAACATAAAAGAAAATTACATTGATTTTGCAAATATTTTTGTTTGTTGTCTTCTACAAAAAAAAAAAGAAAAAAAATGTTGGGTTAATATTTGTTCACAGAGTAGAGTATCCTCTGTTTTAATCCTCATAAACAATAATAATCACTCCACTCGTGAAGGAATCTCTTGATGAATGTTTTTATCAAAAGCTCCTTGACGAATTTTCTTGGGGATTTTCTCAACACTTTCTTTTTATAATAAAATCAAATATTCGTATCACAGTTCCTTGATAAGTTTGCAGAGGTATTTCTTCATCTCAAAGGCAACCCATTTTGTCTTCTCATTTCTCTCTCATTTCTCTTTTCTCTGATATGAAACTACTTTTTTGTTTTCCAGGAAAATAAAATTTTTAATCTCTCTCTGTGTTCTAAAGCTTTTCTTCTTTTTTTCTACATCCTCTCTTCTTGCAAGGTGTCTTGAAGAAGAGATTCTGTAACCCAGGTGTTGAGTTCGTCCTGTTTTGCTGGAATTCACATGCAAATATGTTTTTTTTGTAAATCACTTAACTAGTCACCTCTTCACTTAGCCTTAAAATTTTAAGATTGGTTTCTTAAATTCTCTTTAAATGCATTAACGAGAATAGAGTTTAAAGATCAGATCTTGTGAGTGGACCCTGTTCTTGAGTTAGAGTTCAATTTGTTTTCTTTTTTTTGTAAGTACATTATGTGATTCTTGTATTTAATGTGCCTCTCTTTGCAGGTTTTGATGATGCTTACGTGATTTTACTACTTTTAAGTAGTTGTGTGTGTGTGTTTTGTGGTCTTGTGTGGGTGGCTATGGAGAAAGTCTTTTGTGGCATGCCATTACTGCTTCTGGTTCTGCTTTTAGCTTCCATTGATGGCTCTACACAGCTTCAGTCATCTCAATCTCAAACCCTCTTGAGGCTACAACAGCTTCTGTTCTATCCCAAAGTATTAAGCAGCTGGAACAACTTTACTGATTTCTGCAACTCTGAGCCAAGCCCTTCGCTTACCGTTGTGTGTTACGAAGATAGTGTGACGCAGCTTCACATCATAGGGGACAACGGAACTCATATGTTACCAAAGAGTTTCTCAATAAACTCATTTGTTACTACTCTTGTTAAGCTCCCTGATGTTAAAGTTCTCACCTTTGTGTCCCTCGGGTTATGGGGTTGGTTACCTCAGAAAATCAACCGTTTATCCTCTTTGGAGATTCTCAATGTGAGTTCTAATTTCCTCTTTGGACCAATCCCTCATCAACTCTCCTCGCTTGCTAGTCTTCAGACGCTTATACTCGATGAGAATATGTTCTCTGGTCAGTTACCAGATTGGATTGGTTCTTTGCCGAGTTTAGCTGTGTTGAGCTTGAGAAAGAATGTGTTTAATGGGTCATTGCCTTCTTCACTTAGTGGCTTGTCAGGTCTTAGAGTTCTTGCTTTAGCTAACAACCGCTTTAATGGAGCTTTGCCTGATTTAAGCCATTTGACAAACCTTCAAGTGCTTGATCTTGAAGGAAACTCTTTTGGACCGTTGTTTCCTCGGTTAAGTGACAAGTTGGTTACTATTATACTCAGCAAGAACAAGTTTAGATCTGCAGTTTCAGCTCAAGAAGTGAGCTCTTTGTATCAGCTGCAACATTTGGATCTTTCCTTCAATACATTCGTCGGTCCATTTCCTGCTTCGTCGATGTCTCTTCCCGCGATAAGTTACTTGAACATTTCACACAACAAACTCACTGGGCGTCTTTCAGCAAATCTTTCTTGCAACTCACAGCTGATGTTTGTCGATATGTCATCAAATCTTCTTACTGGAAGTTTGCCTACTTGCCTTAAACCGAGTTCCGGCACTAGCAGGGATGTTGTCTATGCAGGCAACTGTTTGGCTACTACGAATGAAAATCAACGTCCAGTTTCATTTTGTAGCAATGAAGCTCTTGCTGTTGGAATCCTACCACAGAGGAGGAACAAAGTTTCCAAAGTGGGTATTGCTTTAGGCATAACCGCAGGCATTTTCGGAGTAATTCTCCTCGCTGGTGCCTTATTTGTGGTTCTTAAGAGATTCAAGGCTAAGAGACCAGTGACGAAAGGTTCCCCAAGATTGATCAGAGAGAATGCTTCAATGGGATACACATCAAAGCTACTATCAGATGCAAGTAAGAGGATAAAAAAGCTCTCATATACTGTCACACATTTTACATGTATAGAAGTTGAGTGTTATTGATTACTTGTGTTGCAACACTTTGAAGGGTATATATCTCAAACAATGAAGCTAGGAGCGCTCGGTCTTCCAGCTTACAGGACATTCTCACTGGAAGAGCTCGAGTATGCAACAAATAACTTTGAATCCTCTGCTTTCATGGGTGAAGGTTCTCAAGGACAGGTAAGACAGTGAAGCTTTAAGCTTTCTTTTGCTTCCATGTTTTGTAGTACAGTTGAAGAAAAAACATCTTTGTGCTTCTTATTTTTTTATTTTTTCATCATTCTTTCCAGATATATAGAGGAAGGTTGAAAGATGGATCCTTTGTGGCAATCAGATGTTTGAAAATGAAGAAAAGTTGCAGCACCCAAAACTTGATGCATCACATTGAGCTCATCGCAAAACTAAGGCACCGTCACTTGGTAAGTGTGCTCGGCCACTGCTTCGAATGCTACTTAGATGATTCAACGGTCAGCAGAATGTTTTTTGTCTTTGAGTATGTCCCAAATGGAGAACTCAGGAGCTGGATTTCTGGTATTACACTGAAACTTGTCCCAAGAACATACATAGACAATATGAATTTAGTTGATTCCGCCTAATGTTCTCTTGTCTTGCTATGTTAGATGGGCATATGGGAAGACTGCTTACTTGGGAACAACGCATAAGCGTAGCGATAGGTGTAGCAAAAGGGATCCAGTTCTTGCATACTGGTATTGTGCCTGGTGTTTATGATAACAACCTTAAAATAACAGACATTTTGCTTGACAATAACCTTGCCGCCAAAATCAGTAGCTATAACCTTCCATTACTTGTGGAAGGTCTTGGAAAGGTAAATAATGTCACAGATTCTGAATCTTTTTGTTTCTTGAATATTATTTTGAACCTGTTTTGTTTTCACTTTTAAGGTGGGGCAAGTAGGATCTCGAAGCGGTCCCAAAGGCACTCTAAGGTGTGTAAAATCTTCTTCACTCTATTTCTATGGTAGAAGAATCCTCTGTTTTTATGGTTTATATGGTTTAATCCTCTGTTTCTATGGTTTATATAATTAAGTCCTCTGTTTCAATGGTTTATATGGTTTTCTCCTCTGTTTCAATGGTTTTATCTCAACAGCATCAAAGCCGAAGATAAAATCGATATCTATGAATTTGGAGTGATTTTGCTAGAACTTATAGTGGGAAGACCACTGAGAGCAAAGGTTCAAGTCGATGTTCTAAAAGAGCAGGTAAGGCCACTCGAAATATATAACTAGAAACGCAATCACGATCATCTGCATCTAGTCTATAAACTGTATCTTTTATTTGTAGTTACAAGCGAGCATTTTAGCGGATGATGGAGCGCGTAGGAGCATGGTGGATCCAACGGTCCATAGAGCTTGTTCAGATCAATCACTGAAGACAATGATGGAGATATGTGTAAGGTGTCTCCTTAAAGACCCTTTAGAACGTCCTTCCATTGAAGATGTCCTGTGGAATCTTCAGTTTTCTTCTCAAGTTCAAGAAGGTTGGCTACAAAACAGTAATCCTCCCAGCATCCGCAGCTCACCTTCTCCCGCTGCTCCCACTCTTCCTCCTCCCTCTCGTTTACACCTAACAACACTCGAATCTCCCCGAGATTCAGGTAATTTGAAAACGATGTCGAATTGCCTTTTTATGATCAAATATTGATCTAAAGTATGATTTGATTGTACAATATATGAGATTGAACCAAGCTTTATTGGTCTGAGACTTATATGGTGTTTTTTGTGGGTATAAATTGCAGGATGTGAAGAACATGAGAGGTAGAGAGACAAGAGTTTTTGTTTGATCTCCGTTGTGTTTACACTACCCTTTTGGAATCATAACTTTTTCTCTGTAATTTTATGATGTTGTTTTTTTTTGTCTTTTATTTGTTGGAAACGATCAAAACAGTTAAGAATAGTTAGAATTCATGATCATTTCAGAAACTTAAGTCATAATAACTGAGGAAAGGAATACTCGGTTCCTAATTCACCATATATAGTAAAAGAGGATTGAGAACCAATTTTGTTTTTGTTTCTTTCTTACATGATATTCAAAGGATGGTCTTCTTTGCGATTACATTGGGAATGGTCAGCACACACTGTGAGTAATGCTGTAACATGTAAGTATTAACGCACGCATTGTAAAAATCAAATATAGTTTCACCCCTATGATAATGATCTCATTCAAATATCTCACGACAACTCTACATGTATGGTATGCTATACCCTATGTATGTTGAATACTATAATATTATTCTCTTCTCTTTCTTAACATTATCATGAAAGGAGATAGATATAAATTAAAGACGATTCTAGGTGAATATATTCATCTCCGGTGAAAACCCTCCGCCGGAAAGATAACTTCAGAAGCAACCGTCGTAGATCCAACAGCCACCGAGAAATCAGCACCACCGCTCTCTTCCTCGTCCTCGTGCTGATGATCTCCTCTGCTTTGCTGATGCCGTAGCATTGGCGGCTGCAGCGAATGTTCTAAGTTAGTCGGAGCCATGACGTCATAGCTGACGGCTGCTGCCTCGGCCGCCACTGTGAATCTGTTCATGGCGGCTCCGGCGAGAGTGGTGGAGGCAGATGAGTTGTTGGAGTATTCTGGTTGCTGCATAACGACTAGTTGTTGTTGTTGTTGTTGGTGATGAGTTTGTTGTTGCATAACGTTGGCCATTGCGACTCTACTGTTTATAAGTTGTGATTGCACCACCGATAGTTCCGCTTGTAGCGATGCCACCTAATATATATTTATGGTTACAAAAGTACTTTTATTTAATCATATGATCATCACATTTATTGTTACAGTCTTCAAAAAAGCATAGGATCAATGAATTTGCATTTAACAAAAGAAATTAACAATATTGTTACAAACTATTATACTAAAAAGATACTACCAAAAAAAAACTATTATACTAAAAAGGGGTATGTAATTATTTTTACCTGCTGTTGGAGAGCAAGGATGGTTGAGACGCAGCCATAGACAGGATCAGAGAGTCGAGCCTGAGCCTCATATGAGATCGTAACAACCGCGTCGTGGCGACGGTTCACAGGGATATGATGCAACAGCTTCGACACGTTGCTGGCTCCAAAAACCTTATGGACCGCCGCGAACCGAGCCGCTCCTTGGTCAGACCCGAAGTGTGGAGCGAATATGCATCCACTCACACACTTCCTTCTCAAGAACTTGCAAGCCCCGCAAGGAGACGCCGTTCCTGTCCCCGTCGTCGTCGTAGCCGCCATGGCTCCTCCACCGGAACTTAGAGATGACGTCGTCGGAGTCTGTTGTGAGGTTCGTTTACCGGCTAGTGATTTCCGGCGAGAATCTGAGGTGTTGTGGGATCGCTGCTGCTGATCAGCCATATCACCAAACAAACAAGCATTAAATAATTAGGTTTAGTTGATGAGAGTTTCTTGCGAGATAAATGATATCTGTAGCTATTTATATATGTGTACATGTGAATGTGGATATATAAGTAAAACAGAGGAGGCCACGTTTGTTTCATGAAGGAGGTCGCGAGGTGAATGTGGTAATCTTTTTCCAATTTCTTCTTTTTGGAATACGTAATAATAATAATAGCTACATATTGTTTTCTTAATTATACATATAAATCTTGTTACGCCTATAAAATACGTAATAACTATTTCATTTCCAAAAAGTGAATTTTGGTCAAAGATTTTCTACCCGTTATTCCATTTCCAAAATTTAAATTTGGTCAATGAATTTTGTTTGGTTCTTTGGCTTTTTTGTATTTGACAGCTTTTAAAGTTATTTATATTTTAAGTTGTTTAATTAATTTTGTTTCTTCATAATTTTACTTTTACTTTTGCTCATAAATCGTAAATAAAGCTTGCAAAAGAGAAGAAAATACTTATAACGTTTAAATTAGTCAGATGCGAGAAAACGTGAGAAACATTGTTGAATGTTGACTACATTAAATATTGAAAATGAAGTCATTATTATTGGTTATCGTATAAGTGTAGGTAACACCGTTTATCTAGATTCACATGTTAATTGTAATTGACGTATTTATAAAATAGTGAAATGATGTAAAAATGTACTAGAGTTATATAGTTCTCTACAAATTTTTTTTTTTAAAGCTAGAAGTAGAAATGGCATAAATTTATCAATTTCGATATACCTTGTAGTGCGATAATGGATATTAAGATGTAATTACAGTGAGTTAGGTTATACAGTATATATATCGTATGTTGTTGATATTGTTAGGTACAAGAAAGAACGTATCAGTGGGAAGAATGTGTGAGGCGCACGTGCAAAGAGAGTGTTTGATTTTAACTAATACAAGCATTTTCTTATTCCGCTATAGTTATTTTCTCCTTTTATAGGTCTTAATCATATTAAAATTGTAAATATATTAGTTATGGTTAGAACTAGTCCAACAAACTTATTGAAATGCGTAACATTACGTCTCAAAACCATAAGCACTACCATTCAATATTTTAAATTATAAACATCTCGCTAGACTACTTTTGCTTATAAAAGACGAGTTACACTTATAAATGTTTCCAAAAATGGAAATTGATGAAAAAAAGTCATAGAGATAAACTTCAGGCCATTGACAACATATGAATGAAGTAGACGATTTCTTTTCTGAAAACTCAATCATACAGCCAATATTTATTGGGACGTATCCTTATATTCATCACGAGTCAGGGATCATCGTTGCATGCATGTGTTATAACGAGAAATATTCGCATTAATTTTTCTATTAGAAAATAAAAAAAAGATATATAAAGAACAAAGAAAGATAGTTTCCTTGTCTCAAAAGGTTAAGCAAACGTACGAACACAATGATTAATAACAATCAACAACTAGTATATAGTATAACACCATATAATTAAGTACTATCGTATCCGTAATTTCGTATAAGGATATTATAAATAGCTAAGATAAGTATGTATATACGATGTTTTAATGTCTGAGAGAGGAGAGGCACGAGAATCGTGTTGACCGTTTCGTGTGGAGTTCTTTGTAAGCTAACCAACCTCATTCATGTCTGTCGTGCTCCTTTTCTTCACAACATTCCTCCCTTAGCTAGTTTTCCTTTTTTCATTTTTCAAAAGTAGTTTTTTTTTCTTCACGAAATTCAGAGTATATATATTTCCTTACTTGAATCGTATTCCTCAAAAATCTACTGTTAACTAATTAATGACGTATATATGTTAATTCATACAGAGTGGCATTGCTCATGAATCACCATTGCCTATGTCCTATGATCCAGATCAGTAAGATGATGATCTTTTCTTCCTTTGCTTGTTATCTTTATGGAGAAGGTCCTACGGGTCCAGAGGAGAAAAGATAACTGTGAAGGAGATGAGAATATGAGATGTGTTGAATCTTGAAAGAAGAAAAACCTCTCTGCATGATATGTTCAGTGTCAAAGTGTTATACAACGTCCATTAGTTAAGAATGATATATATACACGATGTGGGATGTGCAACACTTTAACACCGACTTGTAGTTTTCCTTCTTTTTTCAAATGTCTAAACCACAAACGTAAATCATACCAAACCAGGATTTCATTACTTCCGAAAGACAGAATTTTCAAATAGTAAAGAGTATTATTGAGACATTAGTATACAAGGTGATGATGATGAAATGAAATCAGGTATTCTCACAAGGCAATGTTCCAAAACAGCAGGAACTACCACAACAGCAATTTAACTTGTTGCCTCTGTTCTCTCCCGTGACACGGACATCTCCGTAACTGAAACTTAACTCTTCCTCTGCATATATGTCCCTTGCTGCAAAGAAACAGAGCCGAGGAAGCAAAGCCCCCGAGCTTCTCAACAGAACGGTGGAGAGATTTCCGCCATCACAAGAATGGTTGATGAATCTGGCAATGTTCCCAATTCTCGTGGCGTCGATGTTTATTCTTAAACAAGCTTGTCCTGAAGGGAGGTGCTCGCGTATGACCAAAAGTGCAGAAGCGAAGGATTGTGTTGACCTGAGTTTGTCATAGACATTTTGACGTTTACGTGCTTCTTCTGTTGTTAATAGCTCACCTGTAAAGCACAGCATCGTGATACTCTTTAAACGACTGAAACATGGACACAGCAAAAAGATCAAACCTTTCACTGATGAGAGATCACACAATAACACAATGTTTAAAATCTCATACCATACTCATATCTGCTTTTCAACTTAATAACTAACGCTAATTTTCGTCTAAACATGTACTCTAGAACTTGATTTTCAAACTTCCAGGATAAATCTTCCAAAAATCAAACAAGTATTGCAATAAAACGAATCATCAAAACAATTCTGAAACAACAATGGTTCCAGCATTTTGAGAAGATTAGGGTAACACTACCTAATGCTATCCCTCTAAACATGTAATGCAATCACCCCAAATTTAGCTACTTTCACATTCATACGATCACTAATGTCCTCTAATGATGCGATCATTCAACCCCCAAAGATAAAGCATCCAAAATCAATCAACTTTGAAACCTTTAAAAGATCACTAAACAATTCTGTAATTTGTAACCTGCATATTCACAGATGAATTGGCCTTGCTTAATGAGCTGATCCGCGTACAAGCACCAACCTTTCTTCTCATCTCTTACAATCTTCAAACCAACTGATATCCCCTTTTGCGTAACCCGGTTCGAACAATCCGACCCGCACCCACAACCCGATCCACATTCGTTAGCAATCTCCTCCATCCCCGCGAACGCTAAGCACTTGCAGTATCCTTCCTCGCACCTCTCGCATTGGCATCCACACATCCCCTCTCCTGACTCGTCCACTAAACTCACCCCAAACCGTCGGCGTTCACTCACCGAGTCGAGATAAGCCCTCGTCGACTCGGATCCACATCCAGCAGCGGCTCCCCACCATTGACGCGGCGGAGGAGACGAAGCGGGGATTTGAAACGGTGTGTAGATGAAATAAGCGTACGGATGAGAATCGACGGAGTTACGAAACGGGATTGGGATGTTTTCGAAGGATCGTGCAGCGTCAAGGGATCGGTGAGAGGTTAGGGATTTTGAAACTAGGGATAAGGTTTTGCAGGTTCGAGAGACTGCAGCGAGTTCTTGAGAGTTTAGCCATGGAAGAATCAAGTTGGCACATCGGAGGAATAGATCAGTAGCCGGAATAATGTCTGAAGCTTCTTCTCCGAGACGACGCTTCTTCGGTGGTGACTCTCGCTGCATTTTCAATAATACGGCGTCGTCGAGTTATATTTTTACTACCGTCGTTGAGTTAATAATAAGGTTTATAAAACGACGTCGTTTGTTTTAATATTTTTCACTACCGTCGGTGGGTGACTCTGTTATAAAAAGTCCGTATCCGACCGTTCGTGTCTCAGTTTAACTAAAAACCGCGTTAGAGTCCATTTTTTCCCAGGAAAAAAGAATTAAAAAAAAAAAGAACTGAAAAGACAAAATCAAAATCAATCTGAAGAAAGAAACACAACGAGGAGAGTTTTCGAAAATGCCGTCGCCACCGACGACGACTTCTCTGTCCGTGACACAAACGATAAACGGATCACACAGCTTCACAATCAAAGGCTACTCTTTGGCGAAAGGAATCGGGATCGGGAAACACATCGCCAGCGATACTTTCAGCGTTGGGGGTTATCAGTGGGCAATCTATTTCTATCCTGACGGGAAGAATCCTGAGGATAATTCCGCTTATGTGTCCGTTTTCATTGCTTTAGCTAGCGATGGTACCGATGTTAGGGCTCTCTTTGAGCTTTCTTTGCTTGATCAGAGTGGCAAAGGGAAGCATAAGGTTCATAGCCACTTCGATCGTGCTCTTGAGAGCGGTCCTTATACTCTCAAGTATCGTGGCAGCATGTGGTTCGTCTCCCGTTTTCTTTTCTTTCTTTTTGCTTTTTAATTTCTTTATTTTCTTAGCTCTTTGCTAGGGTTTGATTAAGAACTAGCTTTGGCTGTCTGATTTCTAGTGAAAGCTCATTACTTTCTGGACAAAGTTTGCTCTTTCGTTGCGGTTGATATGAGGTTAGGGATATTAGTGGTGGTATAGAGTTTACTTTGTGAATGGAACCTGGAATATTTGGATAGGAAAATTTTGTAGATTGTTGAAGACAAGAGATTGGTGTGAGCTCACAAAAATAAAAGATGACAGAGATTGAGTTATTCAGAGAAAATTCAGATACTTTGGCTTTGAATTTCTCAACTTGTTTGATTTTTTTTTGGTGTGTGACCTGAAATATGAAATTGAAAGATGGGTGGTGATAGCTTTCAGATGAGTTAAGACAAACAAAGTTCTTTTCATTGTGAGAGAGTCGATGTTGAAGGCTGCTTCGCGTTATTTTTCTGGTTTGTTGGAAACAGTGACTTATGGAAGAGAGAGTACTTGGAGTAGGAGAAGCAAACGTTTAAAACAGTTTGTCCGCACTTTTCTAAAAAAAAATTTGGTTCCTGCTGCTTCAATAGCTTCTAGTGTTGGTTCTGAATTCACATAAACATGATATGGATTGAAAGAGGTTTTGAACAGATATCCATGCTTTTCTTGAAAAGTAATTCACATGTTGGCATGATTTCAAAGACCTCATATACTATCTAGGCACCAATGCTTTCAAATGGTATGCTAATTTGGACTAGGAACGAGCTTGCAATTCACATGCATATAGCAGCACTACTGTCAGCAAGAATTAGGTTTTACGCCGCTTTTAATGAGTTAAGCAACATAGTATTGTCTTTTGCTCTCAATATGAGTGTGGTACTTTTTTAAGCATCTGTTGTTAGGTTATGCATCATGGCAATAAAACTCAATTGGGATATTGCGTTAAGAAAAATGGAAATATCTTTTCTTACTTCCCTGTTTCGCTCAATGTATTTCTTATTCGATTTTATTTGCTTACAGGGGCTACAAACGCTTTTTCAGAAGAGCTATGCTGGAAACATCGGACTTTCTCAAGGATGATTGTTTGAAAATTAATTGCACTGTGGGAGTTGTGGTCTCAGAGATAGATTGCCCACGGTTACATTCCATTCATGTCCCTGAATCTGATATTGGATCTCATTTCGGGATGCTTCTGGAGAACGAGGATGGTTCAGACATAACTTTTAATGTCTCAGGTGAAAGGTTCTGTGCTCACAGGTTGGTATTGGCTGCTCGATCTCCTGTCTTTGAAAGCGAGTTCCTAGATGTTAACGGAGAAGAAGATTGTGATATCGAAGTTACTGACATGGAGCCCAAGGTTTTCAAGGTAAACGTTCTCTTAACTATTTGACACTAAGTATGTAACTTCACACACTGTAAATACATCGCGTTTCTCTCTAATTCTTGATGCATTTGGGTGAAGGCTTTACTCCACTACATATACAAGGATGCTCTCATTGAAGATGCAGAGTCATCATCATCTTCCGGTTCATCTGTTGGTCCATCTGCATCAGACACATTAGCTGCAAAGTTACTAGGAGCGGCTGATAAATACAAATTGCCTAGACTAAGTTTAATGTGCGAGTCAGTGCTCTGCAAGGATATATCAGTAGATTCCGTTGCAAATATTTTGGCGCTTGCTGACCGCTACAATGCTTCCGCCTTGAAGTCCGTTTGTCTGAAATTCGCAGCAGAAAATCTCCATGGTAGCTATCTTCCCTTACGGTTGATTACTGATATTGATTTCACACAAATCTTATATTGCATAAACATTTTGTTTTGATGCAGCTGTTGTGAGGTCACATGGGTTTGATTACCTAAGGGAACACTGCCCATCACTTCAGTCAGAGCTTCTGAAAACATTTGCGGGATGCGAAGAGGAGTTAAGCGGAGGAGGGAAGACAAGGAGTGTATGGGGGCAATTCTCGGACGGTGTAGCTGACACAAATGAGAGAAATGGAAGACAACCACAGACTTGGGGAGATATCAACGGAGGAGCAGAGAGAAGCCAGAGTGTTTGGGTTCAAGTTGTGAACTCTAATGCAAGCGGTAGAAACAATAATAATGACAACAATAACAGTGATGACCCAATGGCAGAAGATTGAAAAAATAAGGGTAATAAAAAGTCAAAGGAGGATCCGAGTAAGCTGAAGACGTAGGATCAGACATCTTGATGCTGAGATCTTGTAACTTAGCATTCCCTATCGAATGCTGTGGAGAGTATAGGAGTCAGGAGATGGTTTAGTGTTGTTGTTGTTATTGTATTACGTTTTTCCGTGTAATAATTGGAGTCATTATGATAATAAACTAAACACTCATCATCAAATATAAATTTAGTAACCTTCTTTTTTTATGAAATTCTCAAAGGCTGAATTATTGTGATACATTAGATTATATTTTAAAATAAATAATGTACTGAATCTAGCATTTTTAATGATTTGTGTAAAACAATGGATTTTAGAAACTCTAATAAAAACATATTTCCTCACAAAATATCCAATGTTATTGGATTGGAAACAAAATATGTATATAGTCTATCAAATTGTTATCAATTAATATATTAAGTGTATATAAATTATCGAATCGAACAAACCGTTTGACAGACGTTAATTGGATTGACGAAACCGTTAACCGGATTTAATTGTTAATAACACGTGGATAATTGGGATTATTAAAAGATTACGATGTCTCTTTGCATTTTCCCCAAACCGAACTGGGATCGGCAAATCCTAATTCGAAAATTCTCTATGCTCCTATAAATGGCATAACTAATAAAATTCCCTAAGTTAGCATCTTTTGCAAAATAAGTAAGTTTTATAAATATATATATATATATATATACAATAATACTTATAAGGGAGGACTGTAAATAAGATTAATAAATATTTTATATATATGAAGTAATTACAAAAATAACAACATGAGAGAGGAAATCCCAATCTTTAAAGAAATCACAATGTTGCCCTTCAAATGGTGTATAAACAAAAACGTAATTACAAACTTGCCATACTTTGACTTTTCCTTTGAGACCCTCTAAGTCAGCCGGAGTGTTTACAAGAAGCGCCCAATTTTCAATACTTCCCCAATTTTCGCTCTTCTTCTTCTTCGCTCTTCTTCTTCTTCTTCTTCCATCTTCGTCACTATAGGTCTTACTTCTCCTTCAAGCTTCACGGGAGATTTTCGTCTTTCACCTATAGACATTGTCGTCGTGCTATCTCCGTCGATCATCCTTTACTTTACTCGCAGAGATGAGGTAATCGACTCAACTCGTCTAAGTCTTAGGGTTTTTTTTAGGAACAAACGCTAGAATCAAGGGTTTCTGATTTGTGACCCGATTGGGTTTTTTTGTGATGATTATTTCTAGTCTCTCTAGATCTGCTCCAAGAAACGAAAGAAAAACCTGTGCCTGATTCGTGACCCCGATTGTTTTTCAATTTTGTGATGGAACTTAGTTATTAGATTTACCAACTAAAGAACGAAGAAAGTGATTTTTTTTTTTTTTTTTGTAGGAATTGATAGATTTTATACCAGAATCCGCAAAAGAACAACAAAATCTTCCTTAAACATCTCCGTTATTTTGTAGGATAAGATTTTTTTTTGGGTTTTTGATTTGTGACAGATCATATTGGTCCCGGCTAATGCTGAAATTGGGTGTGAAACCTGCGCCAAAAATGGATTCTGCGGAATTATCCATGTTCTGTCGTTTCAGGCCTCTAAATGAGGATGAAAAAGCCACTGAGACTGTGAGAAAAGAGACATCCACGGGTTCTTTCGTTGAATTTGACTCGACTCGAGAAAACGAGTTTTCAGTGAAATCAGGAAATGCATCTGAACACTTTGTGTTCGACAAAGTTTTCAAGGCAGTTGATGAGCAAGGTTAGTATACGTTTCGTTTCGACATTGGATAGCACAATAGTATGATGCCGTATAAGTCATTTCATCTTGGCCATTTTTTGTTTGCAGATGCTATATTTCAAAGAACAAAGCATATTGTCTCTTCTGTTTTCAATGGTTACAATGCGTGTGTCTTTGCATATGGACCGACGGGATCTGGTAAAACCTTTACTTTAGAAGGAACCCATGAGAATCACGGTGTCTGCTATATGGCCCTTGAAGAATTATTTAGCCACCCTCAGAAAGCAGAGTTTGCTCTGTCCCTTACTCTCTTGGAATTGAATGACAAGGAGGAGGTAAGGGACCTCTTTGCTGATAAGAATTCAAATCCCACTGAGGTGACCGAGGCACAAGTTCACAGCGTTGATGAAGCTTGGGATAAACTTACCAGTGGTTTTAGTGCTAGGAATGCTACTGACAACTTCTCTCATTGGTCAGTTACAATTCTGTACCTTATTCAGTAGAAAATTAAATATGCTTAAACAGTATACTTAAACAACTGCAATTGTCTCTTCTTCTTTTCTGTAGCTTATTAGGAGTGACAACTGACATCAGAGATGAATGTCAACCACCTTTGGTTAGTTGATTTAGCTGGTAGCGAGAAAGGAGAAACAGAGACTGCAATGATGTCTCTCTCAGCACTCAAAGAAGTTATCTCTGCTGTCTATAGCAAAGAAAGGGAGGTTCCATACAGGTATTTCTCACTTTCACTGTCCCTCTTACCTCTGTTCATGTATCCAATTTTAACATTAACAAACCATTCTACTCTTTCTTTTTTTACTACAGTAACTCGAAACTTACCCACTTGCTCAAGGACACTCTGAGTGAAAATTGCAAGACCTTATTTTTTGTAATGGTCAGTCCTGATAACATTGAGGAGACCAGACGCTCGTTGGCTTTTGCTAGCAGTATTGGGAGAATAAATTTGGCCAGATTCTCATCTGAAAGTGTCTTTGCAAATATGCGCTTTCGCTATGGGAAAAGACTAGGCAGCTTTAAGATCGATCCATCATTCAACCCAACAGCGCCTCAAAACCCAATGGGGTACATGTATGATGGAATAGTAACAATGGCCAGCCAGCGATTGTTCCGAGGTATGGAATTTGCAGTATACCAATCGCCTTCTTTAGACCGCACATGTGCCACAATTGCTACGAAAACGCAAAATGGGTTTGCGTGGGCTGCACTAAAATGCATCGGTGAAAGTTCATCATATGGTGTCCGTAAAAGCTATAACGGTGTTTCTGGAGCGTACGCAATCGCTAGGATTTGTATTCCAATTTCACTGGCTGGATTGTGCGCTTTGGCGGAACACTTCTATGGTGAGCATAAGAAAAAGTCGGAGCAAAGCATAAGTGATGGGAAGTTGAAACATGCTCTAGCTAATGCTGAAAAGGAGATTCACAAGAAGCTTGTATCCCCTGGTATGTTGTTATTCTACCACTTCCTGACTTCTTTTTGTCAACATTTTTTTTGGCTTTAATATGGTTTTGTTGTTTGTTTAGTTTCTGTGGAGGTTGGGAAGCTAGAAGTTACAGTTGCCAAGGGTGAGTGACATGATTTTTATCTGTTTCTGGAGGGCTATGCAACTTGATTGTTTTTCTTACTTGGTTTCTTTGTGTTTACGTAGTGTCTGAAAGATTAGCTACAGTGGAGAAAATGGTGAGGTCGGCTTTGAAAGGGAAAGACTGAGAATGAAGACTAATCTTTTCTTAGGTTTATTTTTCAAAGTTTTCGGACTTTTGGTTTTGATATAATGTTTCTGTAGACTTTGTTTTGGTATGAGACACGTTATCCGAAGAGGAGTAGTTCAAAAGAGTTTGACGACATGTGTATAGTGCGTGTCCTTTTAGTAATCATTATGGCTATTGGGAACCCCAACACACCTCAATTCCCACTTCTCGTCTTCCCTCAGCTTTTTCAAGCTCTTCTCTCCGTATCTCAAGAACGAACTAGCTCTGTATATAGAGCAGAGACGAGATCGAGTCCCATCTAAATGTTTGCTTTTGTTGCCATTAGAATTGAGGCTACCACTATATGAGCAATACGAAGTGAATGGTGATGCTATCATTTGCAGGCCGAACCTTTGTACAAATCTTGCCAAAGAAAGGAGATGTAAGATTGAACTGGATTCACAGATCATGACACACCATAATGAAGAGCATCCACATGTCTACTGATACACATATCTACATTTTGATTAATTATTATTATATTAAATGGGAATTGTTTTCAGAACTATAAGAAACATATTAAATGGTCCCTAAATATTAACTATAGATAGATTCTGCTTAAACTATTCTTATTAATAATATGAGTTGTAGATAAATTTCTTAGGATAAAATTCATAAATCAGGAATTTGCCATAGCACTTCACATTTTACTAAGCTCAATTGTGTGAATACAAAACATACAAAATCACAAAGGTGAATCTAGATTCCACATCTCACAAAAGTTGGAATCGTGCACGCCTTTGTAAGTTTCGCCGGCTCCGATACTCCATTAGCTGGATTCTGTAACTGTAAGGGAGGAAAAAGTTTCAATCTTTGTTGGATTTTCTGAGCAAATTTAGATGAGTTCCCGGTGTGGAGTCTTTTATTATCATCTGCAAGCAAGTTGGTTGATATGAACAGTCTTGTTAGAAGGAAACAAGTTGATTCTGCTCATCTTATCAAAAACGATGGACATCATCAACTTGCCAAGAAACTATCCGTGGTTGATCTTGTAGCAATTGGTATGGGAAAGATTCCAACTTTGGCGATTTTTGATTGTTATATCGATTAAAGTTCTACCTTTTCCCCTTATTGATGCTGATTGTGTTCCTTTCTAATGTTAATTTTTCAGGAGTTGGGACAACAATTGGAGCAGGAGTGTATATTCTTGTGGGAACTGTAGCTAGAGAGCACACAGGACCTGCTCTTGCTGTTTCATTTTTCATTGCTGGAGTAGCTGCTGCTCTCTCAGCTTGTTGTTATGCTGAACTCGCATCTCGCTGTCCATCTGCTGGGAGTGCTTATCATTATGCATACATATGTCTTGGAGAAGGGTACATACATTGATTTTTTATGTAGGGTTACTGAAGCATTGCCTTAACGTGTACTTGTTGTTTGTCTTAACGCTGATACCGTCGATGTATTTATTTCGTAGGATTGCTTGGTTAGTTGGTTGGGCACTGGTGTTGGATTATACAATTGGTGGATCGGCCATTGCCCGTGGCATAACTCCGAACCTGGTATCCCTTTTGAGTTATATGTATTTGTGGTCTCTTGTAGTTTCATTCTGACTAGTGTTTTCTTTTGTTCTAGGCATCATTTTTTGGAGGTTTGGACAAACTTCCTGTGTTCTTAGCTCGACAAACCATACCCGGACTTGGTATTGTGGTTGATCCATGTGCAGCACTGTTGATTATGATTGTCACGATACTACTATGTTTTGGGATAAAGGAGGTACCTCATTGAAAAACATTTTCAATGAAATTCATTTCAGGATGATCAGATCGTTTAATAGTGTTAGTACCGGTTTATTTTGCCTTCACAGAGTTCATTAGTACAAGCAATAGTAACCTCAGTGAATGTTTGCACCTTGGTTTTCATCATAGTAGTTGGTGGATATTTAGCCTGCAAGACTGGATGGGTTGGATATGATCTCCCGAGTGGGTAATTAGCTTATCTTGGCTTCTTCCATTGAGCTTCGTTTTCGTCAAAAAGATATTTCTCAAGGTCAATGTGTAATTCTTGCCTTACAGGTATTTTCCTTTTGGATTAAATGGAATACTCGCCGGATCTGCTATAGTATTCTTCTCATACATTGGATTTGATACTGTAACTAGTACGGCTGAGGAGGTACACAAATTATTGAATAGTAGGCTCATACTTTTTATTATCCTTGTTTTTTTCTATACAAAGGACTCACTCTGAAAATTTTATATGGAACTAACTAGTTATAGAAGATGATGTTTGGTCTTGTTATTGTGAACTCTTTCTTCCAAATTTCCGCCAATTCTCAGTTTAACCTTAAACTTTTGGTATTGCCACAACAGGTGAAAAATCCTCAAAGGGATCTTCCACTGGGAATCGGGATTGCATTACTTATATGCTGCATTCTGTATATGCTTTTATCAGTAGTTATTGTTGGATTAGTCCCATACTATTCATTGAATCCTGATACTCCTATCTCCTCTGCATTTGGAGACAGTGGGATGCAATGGGCAGCGTAAGCATGATACATTTCTTGAGACTCAAATTTCTCTAGCATTCATTAGTGAATACATACATACACATTCGTCCTTCTGTCTTTGCTATGTTAAATCTTACTACATTCCTATATATTCCAGGTACATCTTAACCACTGGGGCAATAACTGCTCTATGCGCGAGTTTGTTGGGTTCGCTTCTGGCACAGGTACTACCCAATTCTTAATGTTCTGAAAATACAAGTTTAGGAGATTTTGTAACACTCAGGTTCTGTGTGGGTTGTGGAAATGCATACTTGTCATTTTGACACTGCTTTGTGGTTTTTTTATTAGCCAAGAATTTTCATGGCAATGGCAAGGGACGGATTGTTGCCGGCTTTCTTTTCAGAAATTAGCCCACGAACTCAGGTACCAGTGAAAAGCACAATAGCTATTGGTGTGCTGGCTGCTGCACTCGCATTTTTCATGGATGTTGCACAGTTGTCCGAGATGGTAAGCTGATCTTTGTCTATATTTCATGGCTCTTAAGGGAGTATTTTCACCTACAAAATTAGCAGAAAACAGAAAGTTGAGAGTATAGTATTGATATTGTTGAGGCAATTAGCATTATGTAAGTGAGCTGAGACAGGTCGAAGCACACTTCTATGACGGTAACCAATCCTTATCTGAGTAGCTCACATTGGTAATTTTTACAACAGGTTAGTGTAGGCACTCTAATGGCATTCACTGCCGTTGCAGTCTGTGTGCTAGTTCTTAGATATGTACCACCATATGGAGTTCCCCTTCCATCTTCCTCTCAAACTTGGACTGGTACCGATGAAAGTAGAGCCGAAAATGAAAATTTGCTTGTGGATGCTGTAGAATCTTCTAATTCCCCTCTACTTGGCAATGAAACAGCTCGAGGTACTAAATGTGCTCAATCTTTACTACCTTTCATCTGCATTTAAGTAATTTAATTCTTGTGCTTCTTTTCCATTATACAGATGAGAAGTATTTTGGAAAGAGAAGAAACATTGCTGCCTGGAGTATATCTCTTGTGTGCATAGGTGTCCTAGGCCTTGCTTCAGCAGCTTCAGCTGAGCGTCTTCCAAGGTCATTTCAACATCTGATATCTTATGTCCGTACTAATCACCCTGCATATATTTCCCCATGTTGAAGTAGTTGATTAGCTTTGAACGACACACTGCTACTTGCATGTTAAAGAGATTTAAGTATGCTCGATTAGAGAATGCATGCCTGTTTCGGAACTATAGGAAACATTTTATAAATGCTGTGTTGAAAGATCCATGTTTTTTAATCTTTAATTATAACCTCTAGTGGATTTCCTTCTTGATTGTGGCAGTTTTCCTCGGTTCACTATATGTGGTGTCAGTGCAGCCATCTTGCTTGGCAGTTTATTTACTCTTGGCTACATCGACGAGGATGAAGAAAGGCACAATTTTGGACACAAAGGAGGTAAGACATGAAGCTTATATATGCTTTTTTGCCTATTCATACAGAAAATGAGAAACTTAATTGAGTTTAAGATTCTGCAAGCCAGCATTGGTTGGTTACCTCACTTTTGAAACAAAAGTGCTGCTTACTTTAGAGTTTCTTTACATGTGCTGAGTTGGTTATCTGTTTATACAGTACTAAGATTTACTTGGGCTGTGTTTTCTTACTGGCATTCTATATTTGATTCGGTTTCAGGTTTTCTCTGCCCATTTGTCCCGTACCTTCCAGTTCTTTGCATTTTGATCAACACCTACTTGATCATCAACATTGGGTGAGTCTGATAGACCCATGAGTGAATCAACATATATTGGGATGTTTCTAAACCCTTTTTGGTAATTTTTAATGGCAGGGCTGGGACATGGATCAGGGTTTTGATATGGCTACTTATTGGAAGCATGATCTATCTCTTCTATGGCCGATCTCACAGCTTATTGAACAATGCGGTTTATGTTCCAACGACAACTTCTACCAGAAAAACAACAGATCATCTTGCCTGAAATTGGTAGTTCATTGCCGCAGCTGAAGTGACTCCAGCGCAAGCTTTGTTGTTGCTGACGTAGCATTTAAAGAGAATTACACAGATGGCACAAGAGTTAAAACACAGGCCAATACATACTACAACAACATTTCATGTATATTGTTAGTCATTTATTCTTAATGCATATCTCTTAAATGCCAAATTCGTTTTTTACTATTCCATTTACAACCTACGTAGTTTGCCAATATTAGCTAAACGATCTTAGAATTCTGGAAAAATGCCAAGTTCATACACTTAAAACGGAAACTCTTGACAATCTGGAGATAAAAGAATGTAAGATGCAGACATACACATAAATTTGAACAAAACTTATCTAAATATGAGTTTGTCAATAACCTTTAAAATATAAAATAACCTAAACGGGCTGTAGAGTCTAATAAGTTTGCAAGAGAAGACGTTGTCTTCAAAAATGTCTGAGAATCTCCCACTTGCCAACATATATATATGCACAGCTTCAAGAAACTGCCAAGAAAAACAACTATAAACATTAGAGAAAATTCAAGAAAAGACATTTGCAACTTGTCTTGTCTCAAGTTTTCAAGATTTCTGAAGTCGCACCTGTGGTTCCTTTGGAAGAATTCTCCTCCTTTCCTCTTGAGTCTTCACCAGAAA